TTAAGGAGGCTTTAAGGCCTTTAGAAAGATCATTCCTTGGTGTGACCTCTAGAAACGACTATCAAGACAGGACTTTATCTCAAGAGGAGATAAACTGTCTAAACAGAGTTCAACTGAAATTTATCTTCAAAATGCCTTTAACTTGCACTGAAAAATGTCTTCCCCATTAATTTAAAATGCTACAGAAAGTACATCAACCCCTCTGAAAAAAAAAAACAAAAAAACAAAAAAACAAAAAAAACCAACAGTGCACTTCCACCTTAAATGGATAGAAGGCAAGAATGACAAATCACCCAAATTAATAATTTCTGAATTGCAATAATGCCATCTGAGAACCTGTCAGCAGTTGCAAATATGAATGTAGATCCTGACTGGTTTGGGTTTTATGCTGCAGGATGTCCTAAAAATAGCTGCCATCCCTGCTGCTTTCGTATGTAGATGGTGATGGTCCCCACAGCTTTCCATAACAGATCAGTGAGATGCCAGGGGCTGGTCATGGTTCCTGGAGCCCCGGTAGGAGAGAAGAGACTTACAGCTGAGTTCATGAAGTGAAACTGCAACTGAGATGAGAGAAGTTTGCTGAAAAAATGAAGAGAAGTTGTAAGCCCTCAGAAACTCATTGGCAGTGCAGCCAACTTCATTCACTGATGCATGGGCATAAAATTAAATTGCTTTCTCATCATGAAAATACTGAGGGTTTTTTAATACCTTTCTTCTGGGTATTCATTCTTTCATTATTCCTCGATAGTCTTTCTGTTTCCCTTTGTCTGAACAATGCTTTTCCTTTTCTCTCTTAGTTCTAGAATTTTTGCTTTTGTCTGTCCACATCTTTCAAGTTTTTAAACGTGTGCTTTTCTTTTTCCCTTTTAGTAGTCCCACAGATACCCACTGATTCCAGTATTTCACTTTGTCTCTCTCTACACCTACACACACACAAGCACATAGCTATCAGTTTTTTCTTTTTGGCTGACAAGTTAGAGTGAACGAGAAGGCTATAATTAACCAGAATTGGTTGTCTTCAGCTTCAGCCACCTTGGAGTGCAGTTCCAAGTGAGAAGTGATCAGCAAACGTGTTGCAAGGAAGGCAGAGAAGACGTCAAGAAGGTTTCTGAAGGTTCTTTTACTAATCTGGAAAGTTTGAAAAGACAAAAGTTTTGCCTAGAAATACAACATCTTCAGCTGAAAGCATGTTTAGTACTGACAATCTTGCTTCACTGGAAGGTTTTTTCAACCAACCTGACACTATGTGGGAAGTCAGAGTACAACTTGCTCCCAGAAATCTGAGATTGATTTGTTTGATCTCCATTCACCCAGCAGGGTAGCCTCTGGCCACACAGCGAGGCAACAAGGAGCTGCTCCTCCTGTCCATCCCACCAAGTCTTAGACTGTGGGAATTTATCTTTGGAAGATGTCTGGTTTTGTCAGTCGTTTTAGCAGTACTACCGACCAGCTGAGGACTGGGGTATCCAGGAGCTGTCTGCAGGCAGTTAATCTGGTGTAAGTGAAGCTGATCAGGTCCCATGGACCAGTAGCTGTCACAAAACTTGATGTTTCCCATCAGGAGTGAGAAAGCATTTGGTGCACGGCTGGAGCAGAGTTTCCAGTTTAGCAAATCTAGTTGCTCTGCACAGACAGCACTTGGTGAATCAAACCAGGAGGTGGTAAGTAGAGACAATCAAGGAATTCTCTTTTAAAGACCTCATTACTTGTACAAAGTGAAGGGTCTTTGAGATACAGGTCATAAAGGCAACAGCTGAGAGTCATGGCTTCACGTGTCTAACTTTTCAAACTAATAACCCTCTGGGAGAATTCTCAGTAGTCTGAAAAGAAGAGAGGCACACTGTACTATCTGACATGGAAGTTTGTTATATGAAATTTAAATTAAAGTCATTCCAGACTGAAAGAGTTTTTGGCCTTATGCACTAAAATAGCAAAAGTCACCACTAGCACAGCACAACAATATATCATACTGAACACTCCCTTTTCATACAGTAAAAACATTTCTTCAAAGATAAACCAGGTGCAAGTCTGTGATGAAAAATGAGAAGACTCTACAAAGAAATACTCCTTTCTCTGTTGGTCACATTAAAACAAAGAGGGAAGAAATTTTCTCGTATGCAATCAGAACCCTGTCTGTCGACTAAAACATATAATTTTATATAAACTAAAATTCCCTCTCAACCATTACTTTGTTTCAAATAGATCATTAGGTATTTTTATTTCCTTGCTTTTTAAAAATACACTCGAGAAATAGCAGTTTGAGTGAACGGAAGTGTAGGAAATGAAAATAAATTCAAACAATTAAACACAGTATTTTTTTTTATTAATAGGACAGTTTGGTAGCAGCAGAGTTCACTAAGTCTTACAAAGATGGATGGAGCATGCAGTGAATTCAAAAAGCCAAAGCTAGGGAATGAAGAGGAAAGCTCTGAATATTTTCAAAAACAATTTTCAGAATGATGCAACATTTATAAATCAAATAGATCAGAGGTAAGCAATAGCATGAAAACAGGATAGATTGAATGAAAGACCTCACCCACCTAGAACTGTATGTCTTCAATCATCAGCCATCAGAAATGAACCTGCTTGGAGGTGGAAATATGGTATTTCCTCCAGCCTATTTCGTCAGTCTTTGGCATCTCTGCTGGCACCCTTCATCACTAACAGGCTGATGAGAAACTGAGCTCTTGGCTCCTACCCATCAATATTTGTTGTGAGAGAAACTAAGATATACCCACCTTCACTGTGTCTGAAGAGCTGTACCCACTCTGAATTAATTCCCAGTTTCTAATATGGCATTTCAGGACCAAGGGTCACCCACATATATTAAGAGGTTTGATCGTGAGAACTGGACCAGGGTGGAGCAGACATAGAGGGAAAATTCCTATGTTGTCTCCATTTGAATTACTAGAGATTGCAGGTATAATCATACTGTACACAGATGGGCCACACGATACTAGTAAGTCTTGAGCAGTACAGCTCTGATCTGGATTTAAACTGACAGTCGGAGAGGAATGAGATACAGAGCCTCTATGTCAAGTCATCTAATCCTTTTTCTGTGATGTGATTTTAATATAATTCTTTGCTTTCATATAGCACAGCTTAATCTGAATTAGCTTTCTGAGCAAGATCTGGCATGAGCTGATCATTTAGCCTCTCCAACCTGTTTTGTCTCAGCCAGTCCTAATTTTAGGTCTCCTCAGTGTTTTCTCCAGCTGTTTTGTCGTGACCTTCAGTAGCTCTAGCTTCCCTCTGGCTGACCCAGATGCTTTGCTCTGTAATCTGAATCCTCAGCACTCAAAGGTCAAAACTCCTTTCTAAGCTTTCAGTAAGCTCTTTCACAGTAAGTTTTTAAAGGAATATAGTTATCATGACTTAGGAAAGAAGGAACTTTTGTCACTAAAAACTGCTTAGCATAAGAGGGAAAATAGGAACAAATGATCGCTTTTAATAAGGGAAGGGAAATTACTAACAAGAATCTAAAATATTTTAAGCTTGGACTTGAGAAATGTATGACAGGATGATATAAAAAATAGATGACAGGAGGGTATGAATGCCTAGATGACAAAGTTTTTTTGGACAATAAAAGATGATTTAGAAAATCAGTTCTAAAGCAATTAAAAAAAATCTCATATCACCAGCTTCCACAGCTGAGGCTGCAAGAAATGGAAGACAGATTGTTTAATATTTGCCCTTTTTCTTACTTTCTTTTTCTAAGCATCTAGTATCAGAGACAGGATGCTGAGTTGTAGGAGTTGTTGCTCTCACTCAGTATGGGCATCCACCTGCAATGAAGGAGGAAGGGCTGGATAAAGACTTTCAAACCAGAAGTGCCTTCATGCCCCGAATGAAGAGAAGTAAGCACAGAACTGATTATAATAATATTTGGAATGCAGAAAGTTGCTCCCAGTGCAGAATCATCTCAAGAAAATTCTAGCCAAGGAAGACACTTCTTCATATATTGTGTTGACTAGATCTTTGGATGCAGTGTTAACATAGTGCCTGTGCAAGCTATTCTGGCCAGGGGAATTTTGTGAACCACATGATCAATTATTCTGCTGCACAAGGAGCAAGCTGATGATGATCTCAAACAAGCTATAAATAAAATGGAAATTATTAAATAAACAAGTCACATGATGAATGTCACTGAGATTAGCTATTATGAGGAAAAATAACTTCTTGTGGGGAAAAAAAAGAGCATACACACTAATGGCTTTGCTAATAGGCTCAGCTCTGTGTCAGGAGTAGAAAGCAGACAGCAATAGAAGGAAATACGAGCTACATGTATTTGTTGTCACGGGCATGCTCTGAATGCAACAAGCCAAAAGCCAACATAAAGGACAAGCCAAAAACTGTTTACATATCTAGGAAGGGAAGAAAAGGGAAGGAAGAGATGATCCAAACAGGGTGCTGTATTTCAGGACATAAGGTGGGAAGTGTTAGTCACAGTATCAGGCATGCACTTCTTTCACCAAGTGTGAGGAACCGTCTGCTTGAAAGCTTTGACTCTACTTTCCAAAGCTATCTGGTACAGTGTGTTTTCAAAGGATGCAGTGAAAGGCCACAGAAAGAGGCTTTGAATAGTGGAGCATGTTGTGACAGATAGGAAAGTTAATCTACTCCTTTGTTACTGAATCTCAATTATCAGACTCTCGAAAGTACTGCAAAGAATGGAAATTTCACCAACAACATTCCTATAAAAACAATAATCAATTCACTTCTATCCATCCAAAGAGTTAAGAAGCCACAACTTTTGCTAGGAGCAATACTGCCAGAAGCTGGAAATTAATGAGGATTCTGAGGTCCTAATAACAAGCTGTATGGGAACTGCTGAGTCACGGCCTGAACCTCTGATTAATCACCTGAGGCGAGCCATGAGTCAGCCAGAGGAGCACAGGTGAAAGCAATTCACCTGTGCTGCAGGAAGGGGTGGAGCCAGGCTCCACCCCTCCTAGAGCTATTTAAGAGCTGGCTACCAGAGGGGAAGGATCTCATCTGGAGATCACCTCTCTTGGTGTCTTCTGGTGAGCTCAGCCAAAGGGTAAGCTCTTCCACTAATTCTCTTTTGTGATCGTTGTTTACTTTGCCTAATTCTCTTGATTATATTGTGATTATAACATCTTGATATCTATTGATTATACAATTATATTGTGATTATAACATCTTGATTATACACAAGCAAAGTCTGAGAAAATGCAAAAGTAGGTGAAAAAGTAAATTCAAAAAATCAGGATGGCAGGTGAATGTTTTTAAGCTGCCTACTTCAAAACTTTCATTTCCCAAAGTTCAGCATCCACTTAAAATTTGAAGGCAAAAGCTACAAAACTATTAAAAAACTGGTAACTCTTTAGACTTCCATCAACTGCAGAAATTTCAGCTCAGGGTGTTTGTGCAGAACCATATTCTTAATCCAGCTCTGACTAGCAAATTTTTCAGTTTTACTTAGCTGACATGGCAGAAGTGATGATGTCATGTACATAAAGCATATTTTCACAGCTGCGTGTTATGTTAAAAGTGTGACATTGATCAGGATATCAGAACTCAAAAAGAAAGTGCTTTTCATAGCTTACAAGGACAAACCAAACATTTCTTGGCTTCCAATTGTTGCAGAGGAATTCCCCAAGACTGCAGGAAGAAAGAGAGAAAAGCTCAGCACCTCTTTACTTTCAGAAGTCACACCCAGTGAGTTCATTTGTGTCATGATTTATTTCTTCTGCTTTTAACAATATCGAAGTGTGAGCTTCTCTTTTTTCAACCCACAAACACTCCAGAGAACTGAAGTCTATTCAGTTCTATCTGTAAGGCTGTTGTGGCTTATCCAGTAGCCACATATATCATAATGAATTGAGGATTCTTTTCTGGATAGGTCTGTTTCAGAAGATTGCAGTCTGGAATTTCTTGTTCCAGATGGTGAATACCATGAAAAGCTTCCCTATGCTTTCTTTTCTGTTATTGAGTATTTAGCTGGCATTAAGAGAAAAAATAATAATAATAAAATCCAACAACAATTTATGACAGACACCCAGCAAGGCAAGTTCTGTCCTAAGCAGCCATAGATTTATAAAATTAGAGTCAAAGAAAGTAGTTCTACCTGGGAAGTGTCAGGCAGCCTTGCCTCTAGGCAGTGATATGAACTTGGTCTGGTTTTTCATGTTTCTTCTCCTTGTTATTGGTTCCTCTGGGTAACTTTGTGCCCTATTTTTCACTGGTTGTATTGGCTCAGTATTAGTCTTCCATAAAATCAATGGGGACAGTAAATTAAAAAATATAGATTAAAATGAAAAAGGAGGTTTTTGTCAACCTAATATTAATGACTTGTCAAGACAGCTAAGCTTGGCATATGAAGGCAGCTTTCTTTGGCTATCCAAAATAATTTCTGTCATAATTGGCTCTTTCTCATCTTTCTGAAGGATGTGTCTCCAGCACAGTACCATGCAACTGACAATTTATGCTTCACGCAAGGAAACTACAGAAAAAATAGTGCCTAAGCCACAGCAGGGAAACAAGTGGCCACAAGTTTGCTACCAGAACTTTCTTAAGCCACTTGATTAATAATTTAGAAGTGAGAATATTGCAAGGAGCCGTTTAAATCAGTAAAGCTCGGGGTTGTCACAAACTGCAAAGTCATTGCAATATTCAGTGACTGGAGAAGTTATTTCCCCAGATGATTGTTAAATAACTTCTACAAAACAACCTCCAGCTACTGCGGAGGCAGTGATCCTACCAGTTCTATTGTCCTATAGTGACACCAAGGAGCAGCAGCTCTGGATTTCAGTATGCCACCCAGCTGATTTGGGCCTATGTGTGCATTGACCTGGAATGTGATGTTCTGTCTTTGAGGAGTGGGAAATGTTGACAACAGACAACAGACCCAGGCTGTGGCACTTCATAAGCTCTATTTGCTGGTGGCTGCGAAGGATTAATCTGTTTGTTAGAAGCAAAGCATGGCTGGTATTTCTGTTACCAGAGAGTTGCCTGTTTTATCTGCAGCCTCTACACACCTTCACTGCCAAGTCCTGGGTAATGGAGCATCCCTTCATGGTAGAACCACCTGCACACTCAAAACCTCAGTGGCTATTCTTCCCATGTAAGGAGAAGAACTTTGCAGATACTGGGAAATACAGGGATTATAAAGTGAGAAATCAAATACCCTTCCCTCTCTGTGAAAAAGAATAAGGCTGGACTGTTCTAGTGTGATGGTCAAGGATATTCCTGTAAGGACTGATAGCTAACACAGAGTCTGTGTCTTAGATAAGGAGACATTTTCCATCAGCACCACATTTAATCATTAAAAGAGAACAATAAACCGAAGAAACAGCACTGAGCAGTGACTTCTAGTAGAAACAAAATTATGCTAATGCAGTAAATGATAGAGGTGCAAGAATGTGCTGTATTAGCAGTGAAGAAAAGAGTAATTCCCACAGCATTGCCTTCAAAAACTCTCCATCCAGTTTTTCTTACAGAAGTGTTTATTAGAATACAGAGATCTGCCCTAGAGGATATACAGATAATGCTAAAGTAGCAACATTGGCAGGATCAGAAAACACAAAACACCACGATGGTCATATTTCTCTTGTGCCTGCAACAATCTTCTCATGCCAGACCTGATGTGGGCCAGCTCTGCTGAGTATCTATCTGCATTATGCCTCACTTCACTGCTCAGAGCTGCAGGCTCCTCAAGCTTTAGCTTAAGGAGAAAGCAGGGAAAGGCTGGAGGTGGGCCATGGACACTCCCAACAGCGCTCTTGGTGAAGTTTCCTCATGTTGATAATAAGGTAGAACCTCTATTCCTCTCACTCCTGTGGTGTTACTGTAACTTGTGTTGTTGCCACTGAGTAGAACCCTCTGAGGCTCTGTTGCTGGCAGAATTCTACAGAGTGGATTGAGATCCCCGTAGCTTTTTGACTGGCTTCCCCATTGTGCTCTGTGCAGCTTAATCAAACTCGGCCAGATACTAATGCGGATGCTAATGAACTAATTAACATTTATCAGTAGCTGTGCTTCCTGGGAATGCTATGGGAGCTGCTCTTCACATATGTCACTACAACAGCTCCTGTTCCTAGCTTAATCAGAGATTTCCACCTGTTGTTGTTTTTCTACATTGTTTGGCAAACCTTGATGGAATAGAAGGATAATGTGAACCAAAGATAGGAAGAGTTATACAGCACAGTCATTGTCACCTCACAGATCCCTGGAAGGTGCATCCATCAATGGGAAAGGCAGCAATGGGAAGAGAAATAAAGGTTCAGCCACCTGAGAGTGGTCTTGTAAATCTCATAAATCAGCCTAAGAAGCTGGGCTTGATCTTTTTGGTAGCATGCTTTAGAGGAATGTTGTGTTTTCCAGGTCTATTTGATACAGCAAGAATGAGGAATTAAATGCTTGATATATAAATGTGACAGACCAATTAACTGAGCTTAAAAGGATATCTTCAAAAAATGATTCCAGGTTTTAGGCGAGGCAGAGCTTGTTAAAGAAAGAACTGATGTGCATCTTCTTCAAGGAAATACTGATATTGCTACAATATGAAACATTTATAAGGGAGTCTGTGTGTTAAAATTAAAAGAGATGTGGTTAATTTGGACATGGGGAAGCATGCACAAAGCCTACCAAAGGACTGGATCTCCACAAAGGGAAAAAATAACATATGGGACAGATTTGCCAAATTCCAATGCGTGATCTGTTCTTCTGAAGAAGACTCCAAATAGGCCAAACTCCAGTTCTTGTTATACTATTTTTTCTATAGCTGAAATAGATTTCTTTTGGTTAAAATGAATTTTAAATCTGAACCAGTATTCACATGGATCCATCAGAATATCTGGGCTATTCTTGCAGGAAGATCAAAGTGAAGAATTGGAATGAGAGAAAGAGTAAGAGAGCAAAAACTATAACAGATAAGAAGTGGGAGGGAAGAGAGCATGAAGGAACGTCTTTCAGAAAAGAGTATGTAGGTAAGAGAGACACTACAGAAAAAAATGGTGAGAAAGACAACAAAGCACAAAAAAACCGAATCTTTCTACCAAATTTCTCCTCTTTCTGAAAATGTCAGAGGGATGAGGCACTAGTGCTGGTAAAACTGTCTTACAACTGTGGAATGGAAGCCTCTTGGTGCATTTAGAACAGTCAAAGGATGACCATATAAGTTTTAGGTGGTTTGAAAGAATGATGGTTTGATAGCAGGTACTGGAGACATCCATCCAGCTATGTATTAACTTGCAGGGCACTTCAGACAGAAATAAAGGTGATAAGTTTTGGTGCAGTTGCCACTTCTTTTGAGTGTCATGCAGTTCTGATCCTAAGACAGGGTTGCAATTTGTTAAAAAAAGAGCTTCTGTCTCCTGTGTGGCAGTGTCCTATTAATCACTGAGGCAGTGTTAGGACTTGTGTGTGCAGGTACAATGGTGCCTTGTCATAGGGTGTATGACTTTGAGGAAAGGAGAGTCCCAAAGCAGAGACATTTTTAGGGATTTCATAAATAATTTTCCAGAGCCTTTACCTTAAAATCAACCCTAGTTATTTGCAAAGAAGGGGGGCGAATAAAATGAAAATAATAAAAAAATATTTTAAATAGTGTATTTCAATTTTACTAAATAAAACTCTAATTATTTTTTTTTCCCCAGTGAAAAGATTATTTTTTGAGTTCTTTCAAAATTGAAGTGAAGCAGGAAGGCAGGAAACTGCAAAAGCTACATGCTGTGAGGGGTCAGTTCTCCACTCTTCCACTTATGCACAGCCATAGACGAATATTGTTACAATTTCTGTGCTTTCATTTCCCTATGGGGTGAGGCATTCCTACCAATAACATCACGGTTATTTTGCAGGAATGAGATGAAGGTTAAATAACATTGCTTTTATATCCACCAGTAGAAAATGCTAGAAAAAAAAAAAAAAAATCAAGTGTTGTTGATAACTGAGTTTCCACAGAAGACATTGAACAATTGCAGAGAAAATAGTAAATGATAAATCTCTTGAATGATTGACCTGAATTTCCCAGATATGATTCATTTCAAGTAAGTTAGGATTGTTTTCTTAATTTCTCTT